ATGGACTGCTAAAAGAACTAACAGATCTGTCCTGGAGGAAGTGCAGCCGGAATGCTCCTTGGAAGCAAGAATGGCCAGACTTCGTCTCACCTATTTTGGTTATGTTGTCAGAAGGGACCATTCCTTGGAGAAGGATATCATGCTTGGTAGGGTGGAGGTTCGACAAAAGAGGGGGAGGCCTTCAACGAGATGGATTGACATGGTGGCTGTGATGATGGGCTCAAGTATGGAGCTGGTGCAGGATCAGGCAGTGTTTCATTCTGCTGTGTTTGGGGTCGCTATGAGTCGGAAATGACTGGATGACACCTAACAACAACAACATTGTATGGACTCTGTAAGTCACAGTAAGTCAGAATTGACTTGATGGCAATGGTATTTAATGAGAATATCTTCTTGTTCATAAGCTGTGTTTTATAAGAACTATATCCATTTTATTTAAGTTGTCAAACTCACATACCTTTATAAACTGATTTTTCTTAATCAGTCTTCTTCTAGGGGTACATCAATTTCTTTAACATCTTTAAAGAACCACCTTTGGACTTCTGAATGTCTGCTTTTTGTTTCTACATTGTAAGCTTTTTGTTCATTCTTACCTTCCTTCCAATCTCCTTGGATTTAATATATTTTTCTAGACTCTACAGATTGAAGCTCAGATAATTGACTTGAAACTTTTTTTTTCCCTTTTATAAAGATACAGTTGGAGCAATGGGTTTCACTAGTTCAGCTGTTGTATTTTTATTAGCATTGACTTGATATATTTTCTAATCTCCATTGTGTTTTTCTCTTTGAACTGTGAGTTACATAAAAGTGTGCTGCTTGATTTCCAAACATTTGGGGATTTGCCAGTTATCTTTCTGTTATGGCTTCTAGTTTAATAATAAAAAATATCTATTGTGGTCAAAGAACATACTTGTTATGATTTCAGCCATTTGATATTTGTTGAAACTTTATGGCCTAGCCTATGGTTTATTGGTACTTGTTTATGTATGCTTAAGAATTATTATTATTTTTTTGTTCTGTGGTTTTTGCTTGAGGTATCCTATATTTTGTAAATTGGTCAAGCTATTTGAGTGCGTTGTTGAAATCTTCTATCCTGATTTTTTTTGTCTGCTTGTTCTCTCAGTTGTTGAAAAAGATATTTTAAATATTTAAAATCTCCCATTCTTAATAATTCAGGACTGAATAAGATATATCCCTTGTCTTCTAGAGTCTCAACTTGATTATTAAAAGAAACTTCCCACTTTTAACTTTAATAACAACAACTATAATGTATAAAATCCAAAATAGATATGGAACCCAAACAGATTGCTGTTACTTTTGGTAATAACTATGACTATACATTGATTAATTTTTTGAAGTTTCAACCTGTTAATACAGTAAAATCTGTGAAAGCCAGAACCTAGATAATGCAGAAACCTGTCAGAGAAGGAAAACGCTAATGTTTTCCACTAAAACAAGCAATAGAAAAATGGTAAGACTGAACCTCATCAAAGGTGGAAAACTCGTGAGACTCAGTGAAATAGTTCTGTCAGGTTGTGGCTCTAACAGTTTTCACTGTGTCATCGTGCAGTGTTTCATGTCAGTGTGCACAACAAGAATGATGAGAGCCAGAAATGCCTTCCTTAGACCAGGAGTTCTTCCATCACTGTAGCGCAGCTGATTTTTACCCTTTCTTGATCGTGTTCACTGTAATAATAGTTTCACTTCTTACTTTCTGAACTCAGAACAGAAATAATACTGCTAGTTTACCCTGTTGTTGTTATAAGGTGCTACTGAGTCTATTCTGATTCACAGCCACCCTCTGCACAGCAGAATGAAACATGGCCCAGTGCTGGGCCATCCTCCCAGTCATTGCTGTGCTTGAACCCATCACTGCAGCCACCATATCAGTCTGTCTTGTTGAGCATCTTACTCTTTCACTGACCTTCTACTTTACCAGGCAATTCTTCCCTCTTGATAACAGATCCAAGTACATGAGACAAAGTCTCACCATCCTTGCTGCTAAGAACCATTCTGCTTGTATTTCTTCCAAGACACATTTATTCATTCTCTGGCAGTTCGTGATATATTTGATATTCTTTGCCAACACTATAATTATTCTCCAGTCTCCCTTACTCATTGGTCAGCTTCCACATGTACATGAGGTGATTGAAAATACCATGGCTTGGGTCAGGCACATCTTAATCCTCAGGTGACATCTTTGCTTTTTAATGCTTTGAAGAGACTGTTTGCAACAGATGTGTCCATTGTGGTGTGTCATTTGATTTATTTACTGCTGCTTCTGTGCACATTGATTGTGGATCCAAGTAAAATGACAACTTCCATCTTTTTTTCTCTTTATAATGTTGTTATTTATTGGTCCAGTTGTAAGGATTTTTGTTTTCTTTATGTTGAAGTGTAACCCATACTGAAGACTATAGTCTTTGATCTTCCTCATTGAGTGTGTCTAATCCTCTTCACTTCAGCAAGCAATGGTGTGGCATCAGCATTCCTCAGGTTGTTTATGGGTCTTCTTTTAATCACGCTACTCCATTTATTAAACCACTATACAACTTGATAGATAACTGTCTTAAATATAAATGTGCTACTTTGAAGTGAAAGTCTATAACTGTTTTCTCTTATATCTACTTAGGCCAATTTTTCAATAGTCAAACTTAAGGAGTCTTAAATTAAATCTTAAATATTTCTTAGATCTGCTTATAATCTAAGGCACTTCTGGCTCCCACACCAGTATGAGATGGTGTGAGAAGAGCATCACTCCTGGCAATATAACCACAACTTACACTAACTTCAGATTGACAACATTTTTTTTTTTTTTTTTTTTTTTTTAAATCTGGAAGCAGCTTCCAGACACACTAGTAGGCCGGCTTGGATCATCCCAATCATTTTCTAAAGTATCTTCTGAGGTACATTATTGCTTTCACTGGTTATAATTTACAAAAATAATTGATCACCTGCTCCAAATCTATCTTCCCATATGTCCTGTTACGTTTTGTATGTGAGTTCCTACCATGGAAATGTTTTCACTAATACACACATCATGTTATAATAGAAATGCCTGCAATTACTGTAAAGGAGCCGGACTCAAGGAGTACTGTGAGTTCAGATGGCAAGTGTGCCTCTCCAGCAGGGAGTATACTGTGGAAGAAGTGGCAGCTGAGCAGGAATGTGAAGGATCCGCCAAAAATGATAAGCAGTGAAAGTGGAGCTAGTACATCCTCAGCAGCAAAGGAGGAGCGTGAACAGAGCACAGGCAAGGAAAACATCGGTAAGTATTTCTCCCATTAAGGAGCCCTGGGTATGCAATGGTTATTCGTTCAACTGCTAACTGAAAGGCTGGTGGTTCAAACCCATCAGCTGCTCCTTTGAAGAAAGACGTAGCAATCTGCTCTCATAGAGGTTTACAGCTTTTGAAACCATATGAGGCAAGATACATATATATTTTCAAATATAAAGTCTACAGAAGATAGTAACTTAAACATAGTTGATGCCCAGGGTTATAAAAATATGTATTTTTTAATCGTAATTCTTCATGGCTGCTTATCAGTGTTGATCATCTGCTCAATGACCTGATTATTAAATACTTAACCTAAAAATTAAAGTGGAGGAGAAAAAAAGGCAAAACAAATTTTAGCAGGGATATTGTGTAGAGTTTTATATATGTACAAATAGTAAAAATAAAATCATAGTGGTTACTTTTGCGATAAATAAATAATAAAGTCCGTGAATTGTAATTCCCCCCAAGTTTATCTATAAACTCAGTGTAATCTCTATCAAAGTCTCTCAAGATATTTTACAGAATTTGACAAGCTGATCCTAAACCATATGGAAATACAAAGGCCTAGAATGGGTCAAAATACTTTTTTAGAAGATTTTGACAACTATAAAACTACTAGAAAGAAATGTGTGTTAAAATATTCATGACACTGGATTAGGTAGAGTTTATCAGATATCACCCCAAAAAGGAAGACAAAGAAAGAAAGAGAAGAAGAATTAGACTTCATCAAATTAAAAAATTTTGTGCTTCAAAAGACAACATTCAGACAATGGAAAAACCACAAACTGGGAGAAAGTATTTGCAAGTCATTATCTGACAAAAGACTTTTATCTAGAATATACAAAGAATTATTACAACTCAACAGCAAGAAAGCAAGCAACACAATTTAAAATTGTGTAAAATGTCAGTGAATATTTTCCCAAAGATGATATATGAATGGCTAATAGGCAAACAAAAAGATTCTCAACATCATTAGTTATTGTTCCTGTTGCTGAATACTACTGAGTTGCTTCTGACTCATAGCAACCCTGTGTACAATAGATTGAAACACTACCCATTCTATCATTGCTATGTTGAACCCATTGTTGCAGCCACTGTGTCAATCCATCTTGTTGAGCATCTTACTTTTTCTCTGACTTTCTACTTTACCAAGAATGATGTCCTTCTCCAGGTGCTGGCCCCTCCTGATAAGATGCCCAAAACACGTAAGATACAGTGTCACCATCCTCACTTCTACATAGTCTTTTGGTTGTACTTCTTGCAAGACAGATTTGTTCCTTCTTCTGGCAGTCTCTGGTATGTTCAGTATTCTTCACCAACACCACAATTCAATTACATCAATTCTTCTTTGGTCTTCCTTATTTATTGTCCAGTTTTCACATGCATATGAGGCTAATGAAAATACCATGGCTTGGATCAGCATACCTTATTCCTCAAAGCAAAGTGACACCTTTGCTTTATAACACTTCGTTGTTGTTATGTGCCATCAAGTTGGACCCGACTCATAACAACCCCTCCTTGGGTTTCCAAGGTGGTATCACTACGGAAGTAGATTGCCCAACATTCTTTTGCAGCAAGTTTGTCCAATATAATACATTGTTTGATTTCTTGACTGCTCCTTCCATGGACTTTGCTTTTAGATCCAAGTAAAATGAAATCTTTGACAGCTTCAATCTTTTCTCTATTTATCGTGATGTTGCTTATTTGTCCAGTTGTGAGTATTTTTGTTTTATATTGAGGTGTAGTCCATACTGAAAGCTGTAGACTTTGATCTTCATCATTTAGTGCTTCAAATCCTTTTCCCTTTCAGCAAATGGCATTGTGTTATTTGCATGTCACAAGTTGTTCATGAGCCTTTCTCTACTCCTGATGCTCCATTCTTCTTCATATAGTCCAGCTTCTCAGATTATTTGCTCAGCATACAGATTGAATAAGTATGCTGAATGGATATAACCCTGACACAAACTTTTCATGATTTTGAACAATACACTATCTCCTTGTTCTGTTCAAACAACAGCTTCTTCCTCTATGTATATTAAACATTGGGACATGCAGATTGAAACTATACAGATAATATTTGATATCAACTAGAATGGCTATATTCAAAATGATAGACAATCACAAATATTTGCAAGAATGTGGAGAAATGAAAGCCCTCATAAATTGCTGGTGGAAATATAAAATGATACAGCCATTTTGGAAAACTGCTTGACAGTTTCTTACAAAGTTAATCATAATTTTACTACAGGATCTACTCTTAGGTATCTAACCCAAGAAAAATTAAAATATATGTCCACACATAGACATACATGTGAATGTTCATAAAAACATTATTCATAACAGCCAACAGTACAAAAAACTCAAAAGTTCATCTATTGGTGAATGAATAAACAACATGTGGAATACTATTCAGCAATAAAAAGTAATGAAATACACTTTGTTCAACATGAATAAACCTCAAAATATTATGCTAAGTAAAAGAAACCAGACACAAAGGGTCACAAATTGTATGATTCCACTTACATGAAATATTCAGCAAAAGCAAATCTATAGACACAAAATTAGATTAGTAGTTGCCTGGAACTCATAGTGG